GACACAGCTGGTAAGGGCCGGGGGCTGAGGTCTGACTCATTTTGCTTAACTCTAAAGTACTTTGTCATCCCTCACTGAAGAGGGGGAAAGTCCCATTAAAACCGGTAGACAGCGAAGGGTCTAAGGCCAGGGAGGCTTGGGAAAGATGCAGGTTCGTATCCTGGTTCTGCTGTTTCAGATAAACGACATGCGCCAGGACCCCATCCCTACCTTTTTCCTGCAGGTTCCCTGCACTCCAGGCCCCCGTTCTAGGGAACTTTTGATCCACATGTGTTACGTGCAGCATTGACTGAGAGTCTGTGACCGTCACCCTGGAAAATTGGAAAAAGAAAAAGAACTCACTGTTTCAGGTGGATTCTGGTGGCGAGACCACACCAGGATCCCTTTATGTCCCTGAGCCTGGGGCCAGCTTGCTGCGGCACGGGACCACTCGTCCCTGCACACAAGTAGGTGCAGGGGGCACACATTTATTGCAGGCTCTCGGGGCATTGCCCCTTCAGGGAAAACGTGCCTTGTGGGGCATCACTTCACACCGTGGCACAAAAGCCTTGGTTAGTAGAGCCCAGTCCCGCTGCCTTTCACGGCTCATGGTCATGGGGACCCTATCACGCAGCAGTTCGTGCTGTGGGGGATGCATGGTGGCTGATGGGGATTCTAGGAGTGACCCCTGAGGGCCAGCTGAGCATGGAGGGAACGCAGAGATAAGCGGGCTGCGACGGACAGGGGCAGCGGAGAGCTGGGACCTTGAATCGCGTGAGGAGGAGTTTGGAATTGCTACTATGGGCAGCGGGATGGGAGGGAGTCCTAGGAGGTCTGCACAGGAGAAGATATGATGACAGTGAGATTTTGAGTCCATGTCCAAGGAGCCAGACCCTGGCTGGCCATGGGGAGAGAAGGAGGTGTGTGCGAGAGACAGGGTGTGGAGAAGTCATGGGATTGAGTGATTGATGGGGAGAGGAGAGGCCATGGGAGAGGATGGGCTGGGATTCTGGAAGCTTAGTGGGGGCATGTAGAAAGCAGCGTGGGGTTCAGGGGAGGATGGTGAATTTGGCTTTGAGGCACCCATAGGGCTCCCAGCAGATGTTCCTGGTAGCTGGGTCTGTAGGATCTGGGCTTGGGAGAGGATCAGGCTGCAGATGGTGGTTTGGGGTTACCTGAAACTGTGACATTATGGAGCTGACAGGTCCTCATAGATGGGACACCTAAGAGCCCTTCCAGAGTCCAGTTCCCTCATCTGCTTCCTGTGACGTAGATGCGCTCCAGTTCAAAGCCAGCCTCAGACACCCCTCTTGGGTAGGGGGGAGGTGAGGGGTCTAGCTGGTGGCAGGGTGAAGGGAGACAACCACACCGGGCTTCCCAGCTCTTCCTCCGCAGATCAACCTCAGTGCCCATCACAGCACCCACTCAGTGCCTTCCGCTCTGGGAACCTCAAGGTGCCCTGCTTTTGGCAGCTGCTACCTCCCACCCACAGTTTCCCAGCAGCGGAGGCCAAGGAAACCCCCTCCCCAGGGGTAGATGCGAGAGAGGGCTGGCCCCCTGCTGTTGGCAGGGCCTGGAGCCAGGGGAGGCCAGGTATCGGTGGCACCTGTGCAGGATGGGCTCCCTGCTGCACTCCTCAACTTCCCCTACCGACACACTTGCCCCTGTCTCCTCTTTTGGGCTGGGAGGTGGGGCCCATCTGCCTTGCTCCTCACAGAGCTCCTACTGTGTGCCAGGCACTGGGCTGGGTGTGGGACAGAGTGGAGCCAAACAGATGCAGTCTCTGTCCTTGGTAGCTCCAGGCTAGCAGGGAAGGCAGCTGGTAATGTGGACACCACACTGAGTGAGTGCCCCCCGAGGGGACAGTTTTGAAAGAACGTATAACCAAGGTGCTGGACCCAGACCACAGGATGGGTGGGGAAGAGCTGCAGAGGATGCACCCTTGAGCTGAGATCTGGCAAGGTGGGGAATTAACTTGACAAAAAGGGACAAGGAATAGCATTCCAGATAGTGGAACAGCACAGTCAGACCTTGTGGAAGGAGGGAGACCCGGGCATTTCAGGAGCCAAAAGGTGACCACCATGACAGGACCTGGAGGGCGAGGGCAGCCCAGAGGGGGGTAGCAGAGGTCCCCTACTAGGTTCTTGGAAATAGCCTGGAATAGATTGGGCAGCTGCCGGGGAAGACTGCTAGGTGGGTGTCAGGGGCCCAGGGTTCTAGCCCCAGCCCTCACTCTGTGATCTTGAGCAAGATGCTTCCATTCTCTGGGCCTTTCTAATAAATCATGATGCCTTCCCTCACTATACTATAACCCTTGAATGCTCAGAGCCTTTGCCCTAGCTGTTCCTGCCACGCCTTCTGCATGTCATTCGGACCACAGCACAGACGTCACCTCTCCAGACACCATCCCGACCAAGCACTTCGCCTGACTCTGGCTCCCTATTACATCATCCTGTTTTATTTCTGCCGAGCTCATACCACAATCTTAGATGTTCCTGTTGGTTCTTTTGCTTGTCTACTGTCTGTCTGTCCCTTGCCCCAGAGCTCTGTGCCCTCAGGGACTCGTGAAATTGTCAGCCAAGTCACAGAGGCAGAGGGGTTCCAGGAAGATTCTCCTGCCCTGGAGGCCAGTGGGCCTAAATTCAAACTGTGCCCAGCCCAGTTAATTTGCTCTGAGGAGGTAGGTAGACCACTCAAACTCTCTGAGCCTCAGTCTTCTCATCTGTGAAATGGACCCTATCTGTTGCTGGGAGTCCCACACCGGGCTGTCCTCCACCATGAAGTCAAGTCCTGTTCCCATCCTGTTCCCAGCTCTATATGCCATTTCAGGAAGTGGGGTGACCAGGGACTGACCCAGGTCAAGTTCATCTGCTTCTGTTAGCCCTTCTTCTGTAGCTCTTGCCTCAGCATGTCATCAGCCTATAGGTGCCCCTCCCTAGGAGGGACCTTGGGCATTTGGGAGGGAGCCCAATTGTCTGAGGGTCAGAGAAACCCTAACCAGTTGGACCCCTTCAGGAAGCAGTTTTAAGCACATAACAGGTCACAGGCACTGTCTGAGGCAGGATCTGTTGTTCTCTTGTCCATTTCAAAGATGAGGAAACCAAGGCTCAGAAGTATTAAGTAATTTGGCCAAGGTCACCCAGGTAGATGAGACAGGGCTGAGACAGGGTTTTGAACCCAGCCAAGTCTGTCTGGCTCAAGTGCCTTGCTACCACCTCCCCTCAGTGTCCTGTACTCTGTGCACACAGCCATCTCTTTGTGGGTGTCTGCCACATGCCCACTGTGTATGGGCAGGCTGTAGAGGGCAGGAGTGGGGCTGTGAGCTCAGGTGTTGATTCATTCTACACGAGTTTAGGGCACCTACTGTGTTCCAGGTGCTGGATGTGCCCTTGTCCCTCCATGAGTGTGTACATATGAGAGAGGTGATACATGAGTGTGTAAATATGAGAGGACACTTTGGCACACACCTCCACTTGCACACGCATGAACATATGTGCTGAAACACCCTTGGATATCCATGCACGTGCACACACACACATAAACAAGATACTTACAGACATAAGCACCCATTAGGATACTAACATCCAGGCTTCAAGAAGAGGCAAGTAAAATACAAACACAACACATCAGGCCGGTCACCCCAACCACATAGGAACCCATGCACTCCAGCCTTCCTTCCTCCACTCTATCTCTCCCACCCTGATACTTTCATCTGCAGTGTCTCAGGGGAGACCTGTTCAGCCATAGTAAACAGCTTGTCTATGTTTGAGATGTCCCCATAGTCAAAGCCCAGGTTAGCTGGGGCATGTGACTTCCCTTCCTGGACAGAGCAAGGACGTCCAGCCCCCCCCCCAGGGCATGAATGCTTGTGGCTTTGCCACCTAGGGACTCTCCCCAAGAGGCTGCCACCACCACCCCTCTCAAATCCTCTCCCACAAGGCAACAGAGAGACACAGGGGCTTTAGAAACCAAGAGAGTTTTAAATATATGTGGGCACAATATTAACATTAAATACACATCATAAATAAGCTTTATAAATACGAAACTGATAAAAATTGATAAATTAGTCACGTTGCTCCTAGGAATTAGCCCAGCAGCTGCTGGGACCCCCTCCAGGAGGGCAATGGGTTCAGTGTGAGAAAATTCCATGACACACCACCAGGGGGAGCAGCCAGCTGCGAGGACCCGAGAGTGGGCGCTTCCCGACGCTGGGAGGTCTCCTGCGACAAAGAGAAGGCAGTCTGTACTGCCCCATGGCCATTTGCACTGCCTGTCCCAATTTACAGAGAATTTGATATCCACTCTATGTCATGGAGTGCCATCAACTGACGGGCAGACAGGGCCTGACACGGTCCCCAACCCCATGGCTTCATAAGGAGAAAACTGAGTTCCAGAGAGGTAAAGTGACCTGCCTGAGGTCACACAGTGATTTAGGGGCTTGCTTGGGTCCTGAGCCCCGTTCCCTAGACTCTCAGATCAGTGCTCCTGCTAAGATACCCTGCCCCTGTTACAGCTGCCTAAAGTGAGGTCACCCAGACATCCAGGTGTCTGGCCTGAGACATGATGAGGCACAGGAGGCCAGCTCAGGCTGTGACCTCCCCCTCGGAACCATGCCGCCACAGAAAGGAGGAAGTCTGGGGGCAACAGCCCTGCAAGTCATGAGAGGAAAGGACCGGCAGGCCTCCGGGAGCAAAGCAGGGGGGCAGTCAGCCCAGCTGTGAGTCAGCCTATGTCATCAGATCCCTGAATCAATGGAAAGTAGGTCCCGCATGGCCTGACCCTGCCACCCCACCAGGACTGGGGAACTCGGGGCTGGGGGGTGCAACAGCCTGACTATTGGTCCCCCAAGCCCAGAGGAGGTAGAAGGGGCCTGCCCAGCTCCCACCCCTTAAAGCACACTTCTGAAAGTCGGGGAATGCAGGGAGCAGGTCTGAGACCCCAGGGAGGCACCAGCCCCCTGCAGCTCCTCACACGAACAGAGCACCTGCTGCGTCCTTCACCTGCACGGGGTGCCCCCAAGGCTACCGGGGAAGCTGCCCCCTGGGCATTAGTCTGTTGTCCCCGCTGGAGAGTCTGGCCCTGCGGGCCCCCACGCTCAGGACCTGGTGGGGGCTGTGTGTCTGGCTCCGACTCTCCTCCCACTCGCTGAAAACCCTCCCCACGGAGCGCATAAAGCGATGGTAGCCATGCAGGAACCTGCAGTCCTCCAACTTGCTCTCAAAGGCGTCCGGGGTGGGGGTGGATGGCGGCGAGGCCCTCGGGCCCAACTGAGTGGGCTCAGCTATCTCCGAGGAGTCGTCGAGCTGCTGGGAAATGCAGTAGATGTTGTTCCTGAGCCCTTGGATGTAGAGCCTCGCCATCTGTAGCTTCTCCAAGTACTGGGCCTTGGGGGAACGCCGCTGGAAGGCAGCCAGTCTGTGCAGGACACGGTTCAGGGTAGCGCTGAGGGTCCGCAGGAAGCCCCGCTTGCCCAGCCCCCTCAGGGTGCCTTCGCTGGGGAAGGCCCCAGGACGCTCTTTGCAGTGCCCTCTCAGTATGGGTGTGTCCAGGCCTTGGATGTGGATCTGGGGGAACAGCAGGCAGGGGGTGAGCTCTGTAGCCACCCATCCACACACCCACAGAGTCTGCTCTGGTCAGCCTTCAAATGCTAGACCTCTGATCCTCCCATTGTACAGATCCAGGAACTGAGGCCCGAGAGGGGAGAGGACTTGGAGATCACTGCAGGCAGGATCAGAAGGACTGCTGGGGGTGACTGCACAGGTGACGATTGTAGTGTGGAGATGTCAGTGGGGAGTGGGAGCTTAAGGAGGGCTGGACCCTGTTTTGCTCACTGCTATGTCCCAGTGCCTAGAATAAAGCACCTGGCAGGTGTGTCATAAACACATGCTGGACAAGCAGATGAATGAGGCAGTGGGGTTGGGACTCACTCCAGGCCCACGGAGCCAGGGAAGCTGTATACTCTCCTTAGCTTCTTGGGGTTAGGGCTGGAATAACACAAGGACTCAGTTTCCCCACCTGACTCATCTTGAGTGGGATTGGCCTTGTCCTCCCTGTGGCTCATTCCCTTCCTAAACCCAGCAGTTCTCTGAGACTCAGATGACACAAGGGGCCAGGTGCTTACATAGTAGTCCAGGAGGGTGCTGGTGTCCTGCATGAGATCTGCCTGCCTCTGGAGTTGATGAAGGAGCACTCGGTATGAGGAGCAGTTGCCCATAGCTGCCATGCTTGGGATCAGGAGTCCGAGGACCAGACCTGGGGCAGAGAAGGAGCGTGTCACCTGACTTGGCAAGAAAGCCAAGTGTCCCTTGGGGAAGGGGCTCAAAAGGGCCTCGGAGGGTGCATCCCCTCAACCTGGGCTTTGTGCAGTTGAAGGCAGGGGCTGGATGCCATGGGGTGCTGGGTATGCACAGGAATACCCATTAAGGCCATCACCACCTCCCCAGTGAGTTATTGCCCAGGACCTGAAACGGGGGTGGAAAGGACCAGGACAGTGGTTGCAATTTACCAAGTAGGTCTTTAAGTGGAGGTTGCAGTGCCAGGCTCAATCCTGCCTGCATCACAGCACTAACCTCAGGAGCTGACACTGTGCAGCCCAGGTGGGACCAGCTCTCCCCAAGACCTCTGGGCTAAGGGTTCCCACTGTCCCAGGACCCTGACTTGTCAGCCACTCTGGGCCCCCTGTAACAGACCCCAGCTTTCTACGCAGACAGGCTTGAGAAGGCTTTGGGATGGGCAGCCCGGGAACAGCCCAGTGCCCTGAGCTCTGTCTGCAGAACCAGGAGAAGCTGCCTTTCCATCTGAAGGCTCAACATGGAAAGGATATGGGAGAACATTCAGTCCATGCCCCCGTTTTACTGACAGATAAACCAAGTCGCAGGAAAAGGGCTTTCCCAGGTCACACAAGGCCAGTGCTCTCCCCTGACCTCTTGTGCTTCCCCTTCCCCCCCCTCTGTGAGCCCATCAGAAGGTCCTGGGGTGGGCGCGGTTACCACTCCCTGCTCCCCCCACCCCTTGCACCGGCAGCCACGTGGTCGGAAGGGCCGGTGGCGCAATGGCCCGGAAGGCAGTGACACCATCGCTCCCTTCCTCAGAACCGTCGGCTCCCTGGGGAAGACAGGTTGCTGGGGAGGGCAGAAGGGGTGGGCACCCAGTCGCAGTGGCCACAGGGTGCCCTCACTGCCTCCCCAGGTATCTGCTGCTGGGCTCTGGTGGGGTCCTGTGTGTGTGTGACAGCATGCACGTGGGACTATGGCGTCTACAGGGTGTGCATCCAGGTCTGTGTGAGGTGTTAGGGAACACCTGCTCCAGTCTCCATGGGGACCCTGGTCTGCATGTGGGGGTTCCCAGGTTGGCTAGATAGAGAGCTCTGTGTGACATCATGTGGCTCTGTGTGTGTGTCACCATGTGGGTGTGGCCATGTGTGCTGTGTGATTGTATGGGTTCTAGGGCCCCTGGGCCTAGCTGACTTTCCATCCATCCCAGACCCTGGGAATTGGGGCAGGAGGAGGCCCCATGGCCCCTCAACACATTGCCACTTCCCTGTCCCTCCTGCAGCCTGTTCCTCTGCCAAGGACATCTCCCACCTCCCTCCAGCGTCCCTGGCCTCCTCCCAATCCATCTTCTTCCCTCACTCCCTTGCTCCCAGAGTTGCCTCTATATCACCTCCCCCTGGAAATGTTCCAGGGATGGCCCTTCCCACCTGTGGGGATGCTGTGTTCTCCGTGGACCCCTCTCTGTGCCTGACTCCTGGCTCTCTCCCCTTCTCAGCATCCTCTGCCTGGCACCCAGGCTCCCCGGCTCCCTGGCTCCCCGAGGGCAGAGGGTGCCCCGCTCTCCGCTGGCACCTGTGGGCACAGTAAGTGGTGCTGGCGGGAGGAAGGAAGTGCTTACCGAGCAGCGTCCTCCGTGTGAGCTGCGCCCGCATGCTGGGTGCCTGCGCTCCAGCCCGCGCCTGCTGGGGGTGGCACCTCCTGGCTGGGAGCCCTGCGGGCTGGCAGCCACTTTATGCCCGCTGGGGCGATTGGCCAACACCTCGTGAGGTGGGTGGGGAGGGGGAGGGGAGAGGGCAGGCCTTCTGGGAACATGACCCCAAAAACCAAAGTTTCCACAGGCGGCCAATGGGCGCTGGGCGCAGTGGAATATCCGCTCCTCCTCCTGTTTTCTTCGAATTCATTCTTCGAGGTCCGCCCCATGCCCAAGGATGATGCAAACCGCAGCCTCAGCCTTCTTGGGGCGAGCGAAGAGCAAGGGGGTTCATGCCATCTTCGGGAGGCTGGGCCTGGGGTAGGAGGGAAGGACTGTGATCTGGGCCTCTGGAGGCTCCAGGCCAGCCTTGGCCCAGGAGCCATTGAACTCACAGGACTCACTGGTTTAGGGCTGAGGAGAGCGAGACATCTTCCTTCTTGAGTGCCCTTCCCGCCCTCTCGCCGGGGCTGTTGGGACATCTGTGAGCGGAAACCACCGGGCTCTGGGCACAGAGCCAGACCCATGCTGGCAGCCCCAAGATTGTGGTTCTGGCCCCCAGACCAGCATTCCCCAGCACGGCTCCTGGCTGCCCTCTCCACCATCACGGACCCCCTGCCAACTTTCCCCAGCCAGGCCCATGCCCATAACCAGGCACTTTCTCTGCAGACGAGGTCCTCTGGGGAGAACTGGACAGTTGGAGTAAGAGAAACAGGAGACCAGGGTGCAAGCCTGCAAACATGCTGTGTGACCTGAGGCAAGTCACTTAACCTCCCTAGGCCTCAGAGGCCCCACCTGTCAAATGAGGAGAAAAGCATTTCCCGGCTCACTTCACAGGGCTCTGCTGTCATGGACATAAAAGGCAAAATGCCTTTGAAAGAAAAAGAAGAGATGAAAGTCCAATTCCAGGTACTAGCTGTCGGGGGGTGGGATGGGCGGCGGAGGAGATGGGGAAACTGTGAGCTCAGAGGGGAAGCCGGGGAGGGGGAGTTGCCGTGGTGACGGTTGGGGACCAGGTTTCACTTTCTCTGAAAGATAGTGATCGTGGGTTGTTCCTCCACTTCTCAAGACGTCTGAACATGAGAGTGAAGGGGCTCTAGTCAACATGCTACTTTACTGTGGGGTAAACTGAGGCCCGGGCAAGGGCAGACAAGGAGGTGGAGGGACTGGCCAAGTCCTGCAGGCCATGCCTGACAACCCCAGCACATCTACCAGGCCAGAAGAGGGTCCTTGGCCTGCACCTGAGAAGTCTGGCTGCGAGGAGGCCCTCAGGGGTCTGGGAAGTCAGGGTGGGGCCCGTGGGGGCTGTCAGGGGGTCCGGAGCTGCTCCAGCTGGAGGGAGTGTTCGTCTGCAAAGCTGGACAAGGAAAGCGGAGGCAGCCAGACTGAGGCTGTTCCCACCCACTCTCCACCTCTGTAGACGTGGCCAGCATCACTCACTTGTTCATTCAGCAAATTTGTTGTGGCCCCACTGTGTGCTGGTCACTACCAGGTGCTGAGGGGCCGCAGCAGGCAAAACTAGGAAGCCCCCACGCTCACTGCGCCAGACCCAATACCTCACCATCGCCACCCCCGTGGGCCAGTTCTGGATTCTCATCCTGAGAATGTCGCTTCCACTAAATCCCTCATCTCTGCCCACTCCTGCAATATCATTTCCTGTGGCCCATGCCAAGCTGGGATCCTTCTCCATTTCACATCCCTGATTTCATCTTGCAGCAGCCCCAGGAGGGAGGGCAGCCAGGCAGGGACAGAAGCTTCAAGAAGTTCAGGGGCTGACTCAAGGCAGGAGAGCTGGATCTGGCTCAGAATTCCTTGCTCCTCTCAGCTACTGCTGACTGACTGCCACTCTTGGGGACAGCCATGTGCCTTTAACCATGGTCCAGGGAGGCCGTATTATCTCCTCAGTTTAAAGTGGCCTCCGAGACCCAGAGAGGAAGATTGCTTTGCCTGTGGTCATTACCCTGCGAACAGTCAAGAGGAGCCGGGCCTTCAAACCAGGCCTGCCTAATTTAGAAGACCAGGCTGTTAGCACATGACTAATCAGGGTGCCCTGGGACCAGGTCACCAAAGACAAGGAGAGCTTGTATAGTAGTTTGCTCAGGCTGGCATAACCAGGTACCACAGACTGGGTGGCCTAAACAACGGAAATTTATTTTTTCACATTTCTGAAGGGTGCAAATCTGAGTTAAGGCGTTGGGATTGGTTCCTTGGAAGGCCTCTGTCACATCTTGCTGTGTCCTCACATGGTCATCTCTTGCTATAAGTGTCATCTGTGTCCTAATCTCTCCTTATAAGGATGCCAGTCATACTGGATTAGGGACCCCCCAGTGACCTTGTTTTTTACCTTAATGATCTTTTAAAGGCCCTATCTCCAAATATAGTCACTTCAATATGTGAATGGGGTGGAGGGGATGGCACAGTTTAGCCCATAACAGCTTGCAAGAGGAGTCACGGTTGGAGGGCTGCAGGGAGTGCGGATGCCAGTGGAGGGTCGAGAGCTAGGTGATGCTCAGGAGGACGGGGAATGGCCCGGTCATCCCACCGTCTGAGTGGAGCATGAGGGAAGATGCGTCAGCATTTCTGGTGAGGTCAGAATCCAGTGACGTCTCTCTCGCCAGCAGGAAAAGCTTGCAACATGGCCCAGCCAGTATAAATAGGCTCCCCAACCACAGGGCCTCGGCTGTCCCCTCTTCCCGGGCCACGTCAGCCGGGTCCGCGTGATTTGGAGAGGAAGAGAGGACCAGCTTGGTTCCTCAGAACTGCAGTGTTTTCGCCTTTCCGGCCCACCCTCTGGCTGTGGGGGCCCTGCTGCTTTAAGTGCAAGGACAGGATCCAGGGAGGTCTTGGGGGGTAGGCGAGTCAGAACTGGAGGCAAGGGCCACTCCACTGGATAGAGAGAAGGTGGCTCCCACCTGCTGGGTCGAAGGTGGAGACCACCCAAGTCTCAATCTGAGTGTGGGTTCAGTGTTCTGGACCCAGTCACATCCCCTCTCTGAACCTCAGTTTCCCCTCTGTAAACTGCAGTGACACAACAACAACAAAAAGACAAACTATCCAGTTAAAAAAGGGGCAAAGTGTTTGAATAGACATTTCTTGCTCTTTCTCAGCAGAGCCGTGCTGGGGGCATCTGTGGTGCTCGTCTCCATGAGCTCTCTGGTGCCATCCTTGTCCCTGAGGTGATACCTGCACCCGCTGCTGCCATGATGGAACAGATGACCTTCCGTGGTACCCTCAAGGGCCACAATGGCTGGGTAGACCAGATTGCTATCACCCCGCAGTTCCTGGATGTGACTGTCCTCCTCTCGAGATAAGACCATCATCACGTGGAAGCTGACCAGGGATGAGACCAACTATGGCATCCCACAGCATGCTCTGCCGGGTCACTTCCAGTTTGTTAGTGACATGATCATCTCCTCAGATGGCCATTTTGCCCCCTCAGGCTCCTTGGGAGGGAACCCTGTGCCTCTGGGATCTCACAGCAGGCACCACCACAAGACGATTTGTAGGCCATACCAAGGATGTGCTGAGTGTGGCCTTCTCCTCTGACAACAGCAGATTGTGTCTGGATCGTGAGATAAAACCATCAAGTTATGGAATACTCTGGGCGTATGCAAATACACTGTCCAGGAGGAGAGCCACTCAGACTGGGTGTCTTGTGTCCACTTCCTGCCCAACAGCAGCAAAACTATCATCGTCTCCTGTGGCTGGGACAAGACGGTCAAAGTACGGAATCTGGCTAAACAGCAAGCTGATGGCCAACCACGATGGCCACACAGGCTGTCTGAACACTGTGACTGTCTCTCCAGATGGATCCCTCTGTGCTTCCAGAGGCAAGGATGGCCAGGCCATGCTATCTTGATCTCCATGAAGGCAAGTACCTTTACACACTAGATGGTGGGGACTTTATCAATGCTCTGTGCTTCAGCCCCAACCACTATTGGCTCTGTGCCACCACAGTCCCCAGCATCAAGAAGTTATCAGTACCAGCAGCAAAGCAGGGCCACCCCAGTGCACCTCTCTGGCCTGGTCTGCTGATGTCCAGACTCTTTGCTGGCTACATGGACAACCTGGTGTGAGTGTGGCAGGTGACCATTGGCATCTGCTAGAAATTTATGGCAGAGTTTTAGAAATATAAAAACTGGCTTTCTAAAAAAAAAAAAAAAAAGAAAGAAAGAAAGAAAGAGAGAGAGAGAAAAGGAAAGAATAGACGAATAGACATTTCTCCACAAAAGATATACAAATAGCCAATAACCACAGGAAATGTGCTCAACATCATTAGCCATCAGGGAAATATAAACCATGACAAGATACCACTTCATACCCACTAGAGTGAGTACAGTCAAAGACAGATGATAAAAGTGTAGACGAGGATGTAGAAAAATCGAAACACTCATACACTGCTGGTGGGCATGCAGAATGGTGCAGCCAGGTTGGAAAAGAGTCTGGCAGTTTCTAAACAGCTAAACATAAAAATATCATATGACCAACAATTCTACTCCTAGATATATACCGAAGAAAATTGAAAACATACATCCACACAAAAATTTGCAAATGGTCATAGGAGCAATTATTTACAATAGTCCCAAAGCAGAAACAACCCAAATGTCTGTCAACAGAACATGGATAAACAAAGTGTGTTCTATCCATATAATGTGATATTATTCAGCCATAAAAAGGAAAAGAGCACTGATACATGCTACAACATGGATGAGCCTTGAAAACATCACGCAAAGTGGAAGAAGCTAGTCACAAAAGGCCACGTATTGTATGATTCCATTTATATGAAATGTCCAGAATAGGCACATCCAGAGACACAGAGAGTAGATTAGTGTTTGCCAGGGACTGGGTAGAATAGGGATGGGGAGTGACAGTTAATGGTTTGGGGTTTTTTTGGGGGGGGGTGATGAAAATGCTCTGGAATTAGATAGTGGTGATATTTGCACAACCTTGTGAATGTACTAA